GAAATAAGCAAACTAATTACTAAAAATAGAAAGATCTGCAGAAAAAGTAGTCTAAAATAAGCAAATTAAAATCTTACTTGTCTATAGATTGTTCGGGGTCCTTATGTAATATATGAGTTATACAACCATGTAAATTTAGTGCTTAAACTCATAATATACGAAAGCCCACTTAGCAATCCTGAGTAGAGAAATAATACAGATCTTTAATAGTACTATATAAAGAATTATTATCTGAGAAACCAGACACTAGCAGTAAAACTGAACAAAGACTGAGTGTTTGGCAAGCACTACACCAACCAGGCTGCCAGACTAGCCGAAGAAAAAAAGATTCATTCAGAATACTAGAGGACACCTACTGGTCCCTCTTGGGCTATCTGAATTAGAAGTTTGGGGCACCATTAGTTGATCAAAGTACTGTTGATAGTTTATAAAGTAGATACTGGGGTTTGGATAAACTTTGCAAGAGCACAGAGTAGCTAACAATAGCGGAAGTAAAAAGCCACAAGTACTTGGCTGCAGCCTAGATGTAAGTTACTAAAAATCTAGGTAATATATATGTGGAATATGGACTGTTCTAGTAGGTTTACTATGAGGATAAAGTAGTCTTAAGGGGCCTTAGTAGTAGTTCCTTTTTGGAGAAAATATCTGACAGTGCTAAATTAATCAAAGAGTTTAATTGGATAACTCAAGTAATAGTGGGTTATAGATACAGCATCTAGTATAGTACTTAGTAATAGAGAACTACTTAATTAGGTATTTAAAAAGCACAGATATGATTAGAATATATCCTCGTTAATATAACAAAGTTAAGGTGGCCCTTGTAACTATCTTGACATTCAATCCAAAGTTTAATAAAACATGTCAGATCTCAAAGTAGGCACTTTAATATTTAAAAAAAAAAATATTTGCTATATTTCATTATATATATCAAGTACTATAAAATGTAATATAATATTACCTTATATATATATTTTATAAATTATTATATAAAAAAAATAATAGTAGCTCTAACAAACTTTTTAAATTTAGCTCTTGGCCACTATAGCATACAGTACATTACTTAATATTTCTAAGTTATACAATCTACAAATTAATTTCTACAATGTTTAAGCTCATACTAACAATTATTATAATAACTTAGCTGATGTATTTATAAAGCAATACATTCTTGCATCTTATCAATAGTATCTTTAATTAGTGTTTAAAGTCTTTAATTTGTTAATAAGTAGTAAAAAACTCTTTATTATTTAATAATATAAGTATTTTGGTATCAAAAATTACATCTTGATATTTATTTAATATCTATATAAAATAAAAAAAGGCCGTTGTTTTAGGGCAACCCCGTGATTGACCAATCAAAATCGATCACGTAGATTGTATAATGATTTAATAATTTAAGTATTTTTTATTAATAAAAAAAAAATTAAAAAAAATTACATAATTATTATGCAATGAACGTCATTGCATAACAAACAAAAAAAAGAAAATCTATAATGATTATCCCATCTGCAACAAAAAATTCAACACAAATATCCGGCAACACCAAATTTGACAAAGGCCACCACCAACGCCAAAGTTTTAACACCAAAAGTGACAATGGTACCAACGACGACACCAATGATGAAGGCTCCAACACTAAAAAAGGCGGCACTAACGATAGAAAGCTCTAATACAAAAATGACAACACCAACGAGAAGGTTCTAACATCGAAAAAGACGGCACCAACAATGAAAACATACATAAAAAAGAAGAGCGTTAGTAGATATTTAAAAAAAAAAAATAAATAAAAAGAATGAAACGTAGAAAAGAGAAAAAGAAACAAAGGAAAAAAAAGAACAAGGGAAAAAAGAAACAAAAGGAAAAAAGAAAAGACAAAAGAGAAGAAATAAGAAAAAAAATAACAAATAAAGAAAAAATGAAAGGGAAAAAAAAGAAAGAAAACGAAAAAAAAGAAACGAAAGAAATAAAGAAAGAATAAAGAAAAAAAGAAAACAAAGAATAAAAAGATGAAAAGGAAAAAATAAAAGAAAAGAAAAAGAATCAAAAAAAATACTGAAAAAGAAGAAAACAAAAGGAAGAAAATGAAAAGAAGAAGAAAAAAAAAAGAAACAAAGGGAAAAAGAACAAGAAAAAGAAATGAAGAAAGAGGAAGAAATAGAGAAAATAGGAAACAAAAAAAAAGAACTGAAAAAAATGATAAAGAAGAAGGAAAAAAAAAACAAAGGAAAAAGACAAAAAAATGAAAAGAATAAAAAGCAAAGGAAAGGAAAAGAAAAAAAATAAGAAAAAGAAGAAACAAAGAAGAGAAATAAAACAATCGCCCAAAGAGCAACACCAATAGCCCAAATCCCAATGACAACTTTAATGATGATCCAACATGACTCCAATGACAGTACCAATAATGGCTCCAATGATTGAAAAAAAAAGTGTTAAAAAAATATAAAAAACTATATCAAAAAAAAAAAAATACAATTGAAAAAAAAATGAAATACCAAACCTGACGACAGAATGATAAAAGACAAAACCACCAACAAAAGAATTCAAGATCTGCAAAAAAAGAAAAGCAAGTTATTAAACATCAAAAAAAAAAAAAAAAAAAAAAAAAAAAAGAAACAAGAACGACAGGAGAAGAAAAAAAAAAACAACTATACAAGAACGACAAGAGAGAAAAAAAAAACCAAAAAACTAA